CTGCTGGGCTCTGGCGATCCTTCCGCCTCAGCCTTCCAAGTAGTTGGAACTACAGGTGCGTGCTACCACACCCGGCTCATTTTTTTTTTATTTATTGTAGAGATGAAGTCTCACCAAGTTGTCCAGGCAGTTCTCGAACCTGCGGGTTCAGGCAGTCCACTCACCTCAGCTTCTCAAAGGCGTGGGATTACAGGCTGAGCCACCGAGCCCGATTTAAATTTCTTTGTTGAGACAGGGTCTCGCTATGTTGCCTAGGCTGGTCTCAAACTCAGCTCAAGTAATCTTCCTTTCCTCAACTGGAATTACAAAGTGCTGGAATTACAGGCGGGAGCCACTATGCCCAGCCTGCATGATCTTTTGATTGGTTTCTGTCTCTCTCCTTAACTTCACATTGCTGCATGTTACTATCAGAATGACTTTCCCAAAACATTCCTTTCATTACCAAATACAAATACTGAGTATATGCATAATGGCAAATAATATTTGCTCTTTGCTTTAGGAAAATTAATCATGACATGATTTGTGAGGTAGATTAGACATGGAAAAGGAACAAGGAGAGGAAATAAAGATAGTTCCTTGGTTGCTGGGTTGGTGTTCTATGTGGTCACCACCTGAGTCACTGATGGCCACATTCACAGTGTAAGGTTGGCAGGAGATGGGCAGAGCCAGAACTCCAGGTATTTTTTTTTTTTTTTTTGTGGTGGAGTCTCACTCCGTCACCCAGGCTGGAGTGCTGTGGCACGCTCAGGGCCACCCTAGCGTCTACCTGCTGGGCTCCAGCGATCCTTCCGCCTAAGCCTTCCAAGTGACTGTAACTACAGGTGCGCACTACCACGCCTGGCTAATTATTTATTGTAGAGACAGACCTCATCTAGCTGCCCGGGCTGGTCTTGAACCTCCAGGCCCAGGCAATTCACTTGTCTCGGCCTCCCAAAGTGCTGGGATTACAAGGCTGAGCCACCGAGCCCAACCTCCAATATCTTAAAAATACTTTGACAATTGTAGGTTCGTACATATAAAATATGAATATATTCTCATACGGTGAATTCCCCCTCTAGTTTATCTTTCCTATAGCAATATATAAAACTCCATGGTTTTGTGTGTCTTTAAAAACACAAATAGCATAGCCGGGCTCGGTGGCTCAGCCTGTAATCCCATGCCTTGGGAGGCTGAGGTGAGTGCATTGCCTGAGCCCACGGGTTCG